TGGAACACCTGAATTCTGATCATACTCCTGTTTGTTTTACATTTTATTATTGAACAGTATTTTAATTCTACCGCATATGTACTTGCTTTTCAAATTTAGAGTTGACTCTTATTTTATTTGGTTGATTTTAGTTCAAAAACACATGTTTACTAATGTTTTGCTCCACTGTTGGCATCTCTTATCTTACAGAATCATTCATGATATTCAGCATGAAAACTTGATGTTTTATCAATAAAATTCAAAACCTTCTCTTTAGGAAGAAAAAAGGCATTAACGGAGAAGCTTTGGGACAATATACAGTGGACATGAGTTTTCCTTGTTGAGCCATTCCTTCATGCTCTGATAGATTTAATAAAGAAAAAGGAAAAAGAAAGACTGACCTTTAACTTCTTTAAAAAGTGAGTTTTGCCCTGGCTGGTTTGGCTCAGCAGTTGGAGCGTTGGCCTGCGGACCAGAGAGTCCCGGGTTCGGTTCCCACTAGGGGCACGTACATAAATAAATAAATAAAATACAAATAAAAAATGAGTTTTCTTGAACTCCAGACATAATTCTTTATATAAATGTTTTCATTTTATAGTAATTCCAGTTTGCATAACATTTAGTTTGTTTGGTTTAATAAAATGGCAGGGTATCAAGGCTATTTAACTGTTCTTAATATTCTTGGGGACAAAATGAGAGTAGGCCCAGAGTACTCCCGCGTATTAAAATATGATGGTTATCTTAAGAAAAAGTTCTTGCCCTGGCCGGTTTGGCTCAGCGGTTAGAACGTCGGCCTGCGGTCCTGAGAGACCCGGGTTCGGTTCCTGCTAAGGGCACGTACCTCGGTTGCAATTTGTCCCCGGCCCTGGTCGGTTGTGCAGGTGGCAGCCACTCGATGTGTTCCCTTCACATCGATGTTTCTCTCTCTCTCTCTTCCTCTCTCTCCCTCCCACTCTACCTGAACAAAAAATGGAAAAATGTCCTCGGGTGAGGAAAAAAAAAAAAGAAAAAAAAAAGAAAAAGTTCTTGACCCTGTCCGGGTAGCTCAGTTACTGAGAGTGTCATCCTGATAAGCCAAGGTTGTGGGTTCGATCCCCTGTCAGGGCACATACAAGAAGCAACCAATGAATGCATAATTAAGTGGAATAAATTGACATTTTCTTTCTCTGCCTTCCTCTCTCTCAAATCAATCAATAAAAAAAATTTTTTTAAAGAGAAAAAGTTTTTGTATAACTGACTTGTGAGCTAAAATTCTCTTGTATATTTAAAAATAAATGTTATTTTTGAGATAAATCTATCATGAAATAACTAGTATTTCTTAAATCGTGGCCAATGCCAACTGGAAAATACTGCTGTTCCTGCTGCCATCTGCTGGCAGGTTCCATTTCCTGAAAACAGCGATTCTCCAAGTGTGGTCCTTGCATCCCTGGGGGGGAGAGAGTAGGTTTCTATGGCCCTTTCAGGGGCTCAGTGATATCAAACCTACATTTATAATATTATCACTTTATCTTTTCCACTCTGTTGATATTTTCACTGATGGTGCAAAAGCAATGATGGGACCTTTGCACAAATTGAGGCAACATAACTACTAAAAACTACACTCTTCGCTGCCCTGTGCTCCCGGTGCTAACTTGATTTGAGCTTGTCCTTGATGAAGCAGGAAAACACGATTTTGCCTCTACCCTTGAATTCACATGGAATTCCATTTCACTTGAAAGACAACTTATGATGATTCAAACAGATATTTTGTAGACATTTGAATAAAAATGAAGTGCATCTGTCATTTCAAGTAAAACAACTGACAGTATTGTTGCCAATGATAAAATTTGAGCTTTCAAGTGAAAATTATAATCTTGGAAAATTGTGTCCGTTTTGATGAATATGACAACCTCTCATTTCTTTTTTTTTTTTTTTTTATCCTCACCCGAGGACATTTTTCCATTTTTTGTTCAGGTAGAGTGGGAGGGAGAGAGAGGAACAGAGAGAGAGAGAGAAACATTGATGTGAAAGGAACACATCGAGTGGCTGCCACCCGCACGACCGACCAGGGCCGGGGACAAACTGCAACCGAGGTACGCGCCCTTAGCGGACACCGAACCCGGGTCTCTCCGGACCGCAGGCCGACACTCTAACCGCTGAGCCAAACCGGCCAGGGCACAACCTCTCATTTCTTAGCGTTTTCTTATGAGATCTGTGGTGATATTACTGAATGTGATGTGGTAGATAGAATCATGGGCCCTAAAGATGTTTAGGTCCCAATCCTGCAACCTACGAACCTTACATTCCAAAGAAACTTTGCACATTTAATTTGAAATCGGGAGATTATCCTAGATTATGTAGGTGGGCTCAATGTAATCCTTAGGGTCATTGCGAAAGAGTCAGAAAGGAGAGAAGATACTCTCTTGCTGGCTTTGGAGATGGAGGAAGAGGCCATGAGATGAGCCTGCAACGGACGTGGCCTGTAGAAGCTGGAAAAAGCAGAGAAACAAATTCTTCCCTAGAGCCTTCAAGAAAGCAGCCCTGCAAACAGCCAGCGAAGATGACTTCTGACGGAAAGAACTGTAAGATGATAAAGTCATGTTGTGATCATCGGTCACAGCAGCAACAGAAAACTAACACAGTGGTATTTTGATATTGTGTAATGAAATGCGGACAGTTTTACACTTTCCAAACTTTCATAATTCAGCTAGATTAAACCTTGACCAAATGGATCCCCCTTCTCAATTCTATGCAAGAAGGGTCATTTACCAGCATTCTGTAATTAATAACATATCTTTCCCCCCGCTTTTAGTAAGCCAAAAGACTCAAGGAAATATATTGTGGAATTCTTAACAATGTGTGCATGCCCCAGAAAGGAAAATGAACCTGGATCCTAAAAACATGGGACATGAGAGGTTTTAGGATTGGACATAATGTTGAGGATGGGTACACTTTATGACATGAGCTTACTGCATATGTTGGTGTAAATACTACTCACATAAGAAACGTTTGCATTCAAACCTCACACACACACACACACACACACACACACACACTTGTTTGATAAAATGTTCTTGCTATCATTTTTGTGATCTTCTATAAAGTTGTAAATATTTACAGAGAGAGAAAAAATCATTTGTTCTAAATTAAACTACCATTTTTTTTTTTCAAGTTAATATTATATGAAAAAGGTGCACGGGATGATGCTCAACCAACTGAGCCATACTGGCCAGGGTGGAAATATGTTTTCTAATTTTCTTTTTATTGATTTTTAGAGAAAGAGAGAGAGAGAGGAAAGGAGAGAGAGGTAGAAGACACATCGATGTCAGAGAGAAACACTGATCGGCTGCCTCCTGCCCACCTCCTACTGGGGATCGAGCCCACAACCCGGCGTGTGCCCTGACCCAGAATCGAACCAGGACCTCTCAGTCCATAGGATGACGCTCAGTCCACTGAGCCCCACCAGCCAGACATTTTCTAATTTTCAAAAGTGCAGGGATTTTTAGTGATCTTAAGAAAAACAACAACAACAACAAAAAAACAATTTGTAATTTGTTTGCAATCTTCTATTTCTTTACCCAAACTTTACCTGCTTATTCAGACCTCCCCTGTAATATACTTTAAATGCAGTCTTGACTCAATTTTGAAAAGGCTGGTCAGTTCCTCTACTTAAGCAGCGAGGTCCACCCCCCAATCACTTCCCGTAATAGCTTCTCATTTTCTGGGGCCACTCTGCAACAGCCCCTCTGCTCCAAGCCCACAACATTCTTCAAATTAACCAATAACAGAGAACCCATAAAAACTAACTAACTAACTAACTAACTAACCAACCAACCAACCAGCCAGCCCATCCTGCTTGCCACACATAAGCTGTCTCCTCAAGTGCCAGCTTGCTGTAACCCAGTGCTGCCCTGTCCCTGGGTACAAACCTCTGTGTGGCTCTGCTTGGCAGCCTTCTCCCATTTGAGGTTGTGACGGCTGACATCGCGTCTTTGATGCTGCACCACCACTGCTCTAGAGTTGAGTCCCTGAGCTCCTCCAGAAGGCACTGGGAGTTTATGGCTTCCCCTGTCAGGTATGCTGTCCCTGTGGACTGGCTCGGTCAAGTGTGGCCTGGGGAATGTACTTTGCCTTTGGTGTTAAAATGCGGCTTGGCAACACCAGGAGGCGCTGTACTCTTATGTTACTGCTCTCCTTCTGGGCTGCCTGTGCTGGGCTGCCTACCGCCTTGGTTTGCCCTGGAATACTTCGTGTTGGCCTGCTCCTGTTTGGTTAGGTTTCAGAAACTCAGCCCAGTGGAAGATGTTGTCCATGAAAATGTCAGGAGTGTGGTGTTAGTCCCGACTGTGTCTCTAGCTGTGTGGCCTTGAGCACGGCACCTGCCCTCTTTAGCTCTGTATTTCCCATCTATGAAATAGGCATTATTAAAAATTTGATCCTTTTTGGGGGGAAGGGGGTGTTGTTTAGTTTTGAAACCCTTACTGGAGGGAAAACCTATTTAATGTTTCTCCAGGACAGTACTGTTATTAATTTGCAACCCTGAACACTGACCTCTGTAACTTGGAAACCTGAATTCTGTTTTTAACCTGAACAACCACTCAGAAATCGAGGGTGGCCCACTGGGTCTAAGTCCAACTATTTCCCGGATTCCTAGTGATGGCTGAGGGAAATATGACGGGGAAATAACAAACAGCCCCCGATCCGGACTGTAAAGATAATTTCTACTGCAGACAGCCAGCGAAAAGGAAAGTTTTCAAATCAGAAATGCAGCAAATTATTTATACAAGTTTCTCTCTTTAAAAATGTACTTCATTTTTCTCCTTAATCTGGCGGACAATAAACCTTTCTGAGCTTTCCGTTTTGGGAAATGAGTAACTAAGAGTCACTAAGAGTCATTAAGAGTCATTTTCTGCTGCTTCTATCAAAAAAAACAAAACAAAAAAACCCCACTTGAACTCAGCACAGAGGGGTGAGAAATAGTCGGTGCTGACAGGAAGACACATCCCTTCAAAGGCACCTGTCTCTCTTAGCGCTGCTGCTTGAGCAAGTCTGGCACAGCCTCCCAGACCTTCCTCCGAGCCACTTTCAGAAAAGCAAGGTAAGTGGGGATGAGGGGGCCGTTCCCAGGGCTGCGGGCCCCGCGCGGATTTCCATGCAGGTGTGAGGACTTGGGAAGCACTGGAAACTGCTCACCCAGTCCCATCACTTGGGGATCTTGGTCAGCCTGGTGCCCACATTTGGCTCCTATCTTGGAGGTCACACTCAATCTACCTGGACCCACGCGCTCTGGGCCCTCATCTGCTGAGCACCCATTTACACACACATGTGTTCTAAGCCCACGTGCTCAGACAGAACACACAGGTGATTTTCATTAGATGCACACATTTTCCTGCTGCTTGCTTCTAGTAAGACTCCCAGGTCCAAAGAGACCACACGCATAAGGGCTACAGGATAATTCCAGACGTTTACCGGCTGCGTTTACCTTTATGTGTTCGGATAACTTCCTAACTCCTTGGCCTCTTTCATTTCTTTAATTTTCACTGGTAAAATGGTGCAGAAAGACTAGAATTGTTCTTTATTTAAATAGAGTTGCTATTCACTTAACATATTTATTTTTTGGAGACCCTGAGATGCACCAGGTCTTCAGCGTCCATTTGCAGTCGTAAACCAACATCCCTTGAGGAACAGAGTTTAGAGGTTTGGGTGGGTTGGTGGAGAGGGTGGGGGGTAGCAGTAGCTGTGAATTACTGAACAATGTGAAAAGGGTTTTGATAAGAAACCTCAGGGTGCTATTAAGAAGGAAGCAAGAGGCCCTGGCCGGGGGGTTCAGTTGGTTGGAGCATTGTCCCTCACACCAAAAGATTGTGGGTTCGATTCCTGATCATGGCACCTGCCTACGATGTAGGTTTGATCCCCAGTTGGGGTGCATTTGGGAGGCAACCGATTAATGTTTCAATCTCCCTTCCTCTCTCTCTGAAATCAATAGAAACATATTGATTGAGGATTAAAAAAAGAAAAAGATAGCAAGAGGAATACATCAATTATATTGTAATAACTATGTATGGGGCCAGATGGGTATTTAAATACCAGGGGGCCAGTCTGTAAAGTACTGTACGTCTGAAACAAATACATAATAATATTGAATGTAAACTGTAACTGAAAAAAAAAAAAGAAAAGGCAGCAAGGGGAATTGGCGTTGAATCAGAAAGCCCTAGTCCTGAGTGCTCTGATTTACGTGGAACCCGTGTGTGACTGTAAGAAGGTTTTAACCTCTGCCAGCTTAGGAAACGCGAGTGGTTGTGAGCATGTGTATAACTCTAAGGTAGGTTATAACCTCATCTGCCGATTTAGATAGGAAGTGAGGGTGGTTGGGAAGAAGAGATTATGTTTCTGGCTCTGATGTGCCTTTTTCTAATGTCATCCGAATTCCCACTCTGATAGGATTCAGTGCATTGAATTGATTTTCATGTGTGGCTTTCAGGAAAAGACCTAAAGTCTCCCTCAATTTACCCAGCTAAGTACTGTAACCTTCCAGAGGCCTCAAGAGCAGACTTGCTGCATCAAGGTCAGACTGGCCCGGAGAGGCTAGCCCCCCAGTCTGGAAGGCCAAGCGTGTTCCCCCCGAGATAATGCTCTAGAGTGGACATGAACCTGGCAGCGGTGCACCGAGCCCACTCGCATCAACTCTCGAGAGTTGATTGTTAAGTAGCCAGGAACTTTGACCTTGGTCATAGTGGGAGTATTTACCCCACGCAGGAAACCAGCAAACTCCACAGCCAGAGCTCTCCCGTCCACAGACCTCCAGACCTTACCAGCATCGCCGGGACTCAGAGCCTGAAGAGCAACTTCTGTGCGTAGCTGCGTGGCCTTCAGAAATCACTTAACCTCTCTGAATCTATCATGAGTTATCTACACCACGGCTCAGTATGCTCGATTGGCTTAAGTAGCATATTATTGTTGGGATGATGGGGTGCTGGGGATAAGAGTATGGGAGTGGGATTAAGTGGACAATACCAATGAACATGCTTTGAAATCTATAGAGTACAAAACATGCAGGAGGAATTAGAATGTTTCTGTAGCCCTGGCCAGTGTGACTTAGTTGGAGCATCATCCTGTACACCGAAGGTTGTGGGTTTGATTCTAGTCAGGGCTCCTATGGTAGGCAACCCATTGATGCCCCCCCCCCAACTCCCTGTCCCCTCTCCTCTTTCTGAAGATCAGTGAATACATCCTTGGGTGAGGATTAAAAATAATAATAGCCCTGGCCGGTTTGGCTCAGCGGTTGGAGCGTTGGCCTGCGGACCAGGGAGACCCGGGTTCGGTTCCGCTAAGGGCACGTACCTCGGTTGCAGTTAGTCCCCAGCCCTGGTTGGGTCGTGTGGGTGGCAACCACTCGATGTGTCTCTCTCATATCGATGTTTCTCTCTATCCTTCCCACTTTCCCTCCCTCTCTATCTGAAACTAATAATAATAAAAAAATAATAATTTATCTATAAAGGCAAGTGGCCAACCTGGTTTCCTTTCAGATTAATGATTACCCAAGCAATTACTGAATTTTTGGAGTTCTAGTCTAAAGGGGGCAACATAGGCAGATTTTAAAGAACTATAGAAATGATCCCTGAAAGTATAGTCTTAACATGGGTAGATTTTACAATCTTGTTTTCCTTTCTGTTTTTATGTCAGAAAGGCCCTCGGTGCAGTGCTGCTGGGGATATCGGCAGGTCTTGTCCTTCCTGTAGGTGATTTCATAACCCCAGACTATCTTTGAGAAATATGACCTTGAAAAACACCTCCTTGGAAGGGAGGATTTACTCTCCTCACTCAAAGGAGGGCACCGAAGCGCCCAGCAGAGGGGTAAAGACACAGCAGAGCTGGGCTGGAGTCTGTCTGGCTCCAAAGGGCAGGATTGTTTCAATAGGCTGCACTGCCCTCCAGGATCTGAGCCCTTTCCCTGGGCAGGTGGGAAAGGATGCGGATGATGAGGAGCGAATATTACACAGCTGTTCTCTGCATCCAGTTCTGTTTTGATTTGTTTTTGTTCTTACAGAAATCGTGTTTGCTGTCCTCCTCCTCAGCCTCTGGTTGGCCTTAGACCTGCCTTGAGGGGCTGTAGGTTTGAAAATGAACACCACGGATCCAGCAGATGCCACGATGTATGAAAACATCTACAGCAACTACTATAGTGATGAAAATCTTCCCAGGCCTTGCACCAAAGAAGGCGTCAAGGCATTTGGGGGGCTCTTCCTGCCTCCCCTCTACTTCTTGGTCTTTCTGTTTGGCCTGCTTGGGAATTCCGTGGTGGTTCTGGTCCTGTTCAAGTACAAGCGGCTCAGGTCCATGACAGACGTGTACCTGCTCAACCTGGCCATCTCTGACCTGCTCTTCGTGCTCTCCCTCCCTTTCTGGAGCTACTACGCGGCAGACCAGTGGGTTTTCGGACTAAGTCTCTGCAAGATTATCTCCTGGATGTACCTGGTGGGCTTTTACAGTGGCATATTCTTCATCATGCTCATGAGCATAGACAGGTACCTGGCGATTGTGCACGCGGTGTTTTCCTTGAGAGCCAGGACCGTGACTTACGGGGTCATCACCAGCTTGGTCACGTGGTCAGTGGCTGTGTGCGTCTCCCTTCCAGGCCTTTTATTTAGCACCTGTTACACAGAGCGCAACCACACCTACTGCAAAACCAAGTACTCGTTCAACTCCACGCAGTGGAAGGTTCTGAGCTCCCTGGAGATCAACATCGTAGGACTGGTGATCCCCCTGGGGATCATGCTGTTTTGCTACTCGAAGATCATCAGGACCTTGCAGCACTGCAAGAACGAGAAGAAGAACAAGGCGGTGAAGATGATCTTTGCCGTGGTGGTCCTCTTCCTGGGGTTCTGGACACCGTACAACGTGGTGCTGTTCTTGGATACCCTGGTGGAGCTGGAGGTTCTCCAGGGCTGCACCTTTGAGAGACGCCTGGACTACGCCATTCAGGCCACAGAGACCCTGGCTTTTGTGCACTGCTGCCTTAATCCGATCATCTACTTCTTCCTGGGGGAGAAATTTCGAAAGTACATCATCCAGCTCTTCAAAACCTGCAGGGGCTCTTTTGTGCTCTGCCAATACTGCAGGCTCCTCCAGCTCTCCTCCCCCGACACCCCCAGCTCGTCGTACACGCAGTCCACGGTGGACCACGACTGGCACGACGCTCTGTGAAAACACGGACATGCAAAAAAGACTTAGTAAGCTCAAGCGAAGAACTTACTTAACATTGTATCATAGTCAGAGTTCCCTGAGCACCGGGGAGGAGATGTGTATCCATTGCCCAAAGCGGGGCTGCTCACCTGTGGTGCGCTTTCCTGTGGCCCGGAGTTCAATGTGGCAGGAGTTCATGTCCCCCCCTGAGGCGTCCTTCCCCGCGGGCTGGCCTGAGCCATAAGCAGACCCGCGGAGAATTCCGAGCAGTGTTTCAAAGAGGGTAGAAATAATCATGGAAGGGGAAGACCCTTCCCTTCTAGCCGGAATAGATCGAGTTCCCTGCGGGACTGGACGAGAATTGACTGGTGGAATAAATTGCCACTTCCAGCTGTGAAAAATGGGCTCTTTAACTACTTTCTAGCTTTTGTGGGACAATATAGAAAACTTTCACCTGCAGTCCCAGTGCTTTTTCTAATAATGTATCTGAAGCCAGGTGTATGCGAAAATGAATAGTGAAGTAATGAACTCAGATCTTGATTTTTTTTTTTTTAATGTAAAGGATTATTTGTTAATGGAAGCCAATTGTTTTATGCTGATTCCTAATATAAGGATATGAAGGCATTTGCATGGTCTGATTGCCAAGCATGAAATTCAAGGCATTAAAAAATCCAAACATACCTGTGGAAATCCAGATGTTTTGTTTTAATTGTAACAGATGAATATTCAAATTAAAAAAATAATAATACATAGCCCCCAATCCATTTATTTGCGGTCTTTTACTTGTTTACAAACAGTGCCTTCAAATCTAAAAATAACAAGGACCACTTAAGCTTGTCCTTTTGAACTGCTTGCCATCAGGGGAGGCGAGAGTAATCAACTAAAAATTATGAAATTGTAAAAAGTATCATCCTCTCTTATAAAACGTTGGCCCTGGTTTTTAAATTTTGTTTAAAGTTTAAAGTTCAGTCATTTCTTGTCATTGTAATAATGGAATTAATCATTTTACACCATGAAGAGAAGTCTCTGTTCTTACAGCCCTAATTAATCACAATTATGTAAAGACTTTAGCAAAGTCTGGGCATACTTGAAACAGGGGGGTACTGATACCCCCTCCAAAAACAAAAGCCTCTCTTGGAAACCATTCACTGAATTACCCACTTCAAACTGCTTCTGTAAGTTCACACATTATTGCACGTGCTACATTTAGAAAGAATGAATTGCCTGAAAATTGATGTCAGAAAAGTGATTTGAAAAGGGTATGTTGATATTGCCTTAATAGACAAAAATAAAATGAAATAATCTGTAGATAGCCCCACAGAGCCTTTTTCCTGACTGTTTGCCTCTGATCCAAGTTGCCGAGGTCCCCATCGCCTCATTGTCCCCATCACCTCATTGTCCCTCGTCAGCTACATGATGACAATGACATGGACGTGCCCGAGGGGAGGAACTGGAGAGTTTGAAGTTAAGATCACTTGGGGTGGGGAATGGAGCTGCTGTCTCATTCCAGTGCACTTGGAGATCAGAGTGGATAAAAAGTGAGGGGTGGGCCAGGCTCTCAGGCAGTTTCCTTAGAAAACCTCTGCGTGGTTGGCTGGGGTCTGCCAGGTCCCAGCTTTGCGTGCCCTTGTGAGCCTGAGCACGTTGCTTTCCTCTCGAAGCCTCAGCTTCCTCTGCTCTATGGAGCAGAATATATTGCGGAATGATTAAAAGAAATAAACAAGACGGCTAATGCGAAGCACCTCTGTTCCTAGGTTGTCGCTAAAGGTGGCTTTGGATCAGCCCTCCCAGTGGCTGCCTCCTCTTTCCTGGTAGAGCTTGTGATTTTATTCATTTAATCCCAGTGAGACAAGTTTCAGGACAATAAAAGACTAGATCAAGTATAATGCAAGCAGGGCAGATACAATAAGAGAATTAGGAACAGCATGCGTTGGGACCCCAGAGGAAGAAGAAATTGACTCCGTTTCAACTTAAAAAAATTTTTTTTTCCTTTATTGATTTTTAGAGGGGGGTGGGAGAGAGAGAGAAACATCGATGAGAGAGAATATCGATTGGCCACCTCCTGCATGCAGGCCACTGGTTGGGCCCACAACCTGGGCATGTGCCCTGACCGGGAATCAAACCGGTGACCTCTTGGTACTTGGGTCGATGCTCAGCCACTGAGCCACACCAGCCGGGCCCGTTTCAGCTTTTTATAAAACAATTAGTTTTTGAAGTAGGCCTTGTTAAAGGAGCTTGATTTGGACGAATGGCAGGGAGAAGGGACTGATGAACTAGCACCTGAAAAGGCAGGGTGGTGTGAAGAGCGCCCTGTGTGCTCCGGGAGAGGTGTGCTGGTTTTTCTAGTTCAAGTGAACAGGTGGGGGGTGGGGAAGAGAGACAAAGTAGGGAAAGATGAGAGAGACCACAGAAAATGTATAGACCTGAGCGGCTGCAGTGCTGAGCTACTGAGCCAGCTGCCGCTCACATTAGGCTTGGGAAGCGGTTGGCGGGTGCTGAGGTGTGCTGTCCGTACACCCCTGCTCGGGACTGAAGCCCTCGTCCCACATCTGTCAAGAGCATTGACGAGAGCAGCTCTCAGCTGGTTGCCTTTCAGGACTGTCCTCCCTGGGCGCAGCTCATGCCCAGTGACCGGAAACAGAACGCCTCCTTGTCGTAATTTGGGACAACTCTGAAGAACCATTTCAACTCCAGAGTTCCCCATAAGATTAGCTGAGACCTCTGTTGTAATGACCTTGCAGTTCAACTTTGCCTACTGTCTAGCCCTGCTTCCTTCATGCCCCGACCGCTGCTGGTCTCGAGAGGGCCCCCCATCAACCCTCCTGGATGTTAACCTCCGAGTTTCAGAGTCTGTTTCCGGGAACCCCAGTCTCAAATGGGACTTTTGGATCACATAGGGGACAAGTGATATGAATGGAAATTGACTTCAAGTGTGGGAAAATGAAGAGGCATCATCTTTACATCGGGGGTGTCCTTCATTCATTGCCCTCTGACCGTCAACCCCAGATTGACTCTTGGTTCCCAGGCTTCCATTAGTCAGTGTCACCTTTGCTCCCATCACCTGCCTGCCGCAAGCCCTGAGACATCTTCCCTACACCACTCTCCTTCCGTCATGTCCCCCGTTGGCTGTGCCTCAGTCACCTGGCCTAATCCTTCAGTGACCAGTGACGTCCTCGGCGTAGGTGAACCAGACACAGCTCCAGGCACCTTTGTGGTCCCCGAACTATACTCCTTAAAAGTTTACAACGGCTCCAGATTTCCCTTTCAGACAACCAAACAATTCACTAAATGCTTTCATAGATTGAAACTCATTTCAGCCTCTTCTTAAAGTAGATTAATTTGGTTCCATTACCCCAGGGAAACTGAGGTCCAGGGGAAACAATATTCCAATCATAAATGAGACGAACTCCGAACTGCCTAGCACAACGCCAAGCACAAAGCAGTTCTTCAATTTTTTTTTCTTTTTTACTGAATGAGTGAATTTCCTTATCTCTTCATCAAGTTCTCTACACTGACAATTCCAGTTTCTATTTCAGCATGCACCCTTCACCAGCCCTTTCCCCAAAATCCCCATTATGCTTCTAATAAAACTTTATGTTACAGAGTTCAAAGATTGATTGAAGGCCTCCTCCTTCCAGAAACCAGTGGGCAGCCTTCGGGTCAAAAATGACTTCATTCAGACTTTTGCTATGAACGTAGCGGCAGGGGTCTCGTTTTTTTCACCTTCTCTGGGAAACTGTAAAACAACAGCAAGAAGAATGAATTTTAAAACCCATGAACTCCATTCTCGTTCAAACCGGGAAGAGAGATAGCCCCAAAGCAGCTGATAATCAGGCAAAAACGGCGGGGAAAGGTGATGAGGGGGTGGGGGCGGGTGCAGCGGGACGACCTCGGAGGCACCACCAAGAGGCATTTCCTGAAGGGAGGGGCGCGCGGGCGGGAGCTGAGATGCAGGCTCGGGCAGAGCCCTCCAGGCCCACCTGCGTTCAGAGCAGCGGAGGCAGATGTGCAGGAGGCAAGTCTGTCGGGAGGCAGATGTGCAGGAGGCAAGTCTGTCGGGAGGCAGATGTGCAGGAGGCAAGTCTGTCGGGAGGAGATGTGCAGGAGGCAAGTCTGTCGGGAGATGTGCAGGAGGCAAGTCTGTCGGGAGGCAGATGTGCAGGAGGCAAGTCTGTCGCCGCGGCAGCAGAAGAGAGGAGAGCCACCGGGTTGTGAAAAGAGCTAGCCTGGAAAACTAGGGCCCCTCCCACCCCCCAAACATAAGCATTTTTAATCATTCAGAGACAGACACTAAGAAAAACGACATTGCCTATAATCAGGATAGGAATACTATAGCGATCTAGGAATAGAATATTTCGTTATCACGATCAGATATATCTATTCTGGCTCAAATGCTTAACGGGGCACCAGGGAGGTGTTCAGCGAAAATGAAAGGAGACAAGAGTGTCTGCGCTCACCACTTCCACGAGACATCACTCTGCAGGCACAGCCTCATGCTGTAGGAGGAATAAATAAGAGGTGTAAAAATTGGCAAATTTTACAAAATGCCTGACCAGTATTCCTCACAACTGTGAACATCATCAAACACAAGGAAAGTCTGAGAAATTGTCCCCGCCAAGAGGAGCCTAAGGAGACGAGACAACTGAATGTAATTAGTTCTGGAAGAGAGAGAAGACATTAGCTAAAGACTAAGGAAATCTGAACAAAGTAGAGACAGTGGTTAATAATAATGTATTAATATTGGTTCATTAAGTATATAACAAATGCTCTATACTAATATAAGATGTGAATTACGAGAAATTGGATGTGGGGGCATATGGGAGCATGCTGTCCTTCACGGTTTTCTGTAAATCTGAAGTTGTTATTAAATATGAAGTTTATTTAAAGAATTGAAAAAAGATCAGGTATCTCTAGTTGCAATGCTAGTGTTTAATAACTGGAAAGCTCAAGAGCATCACCTGAAAAAACTATTATAAACAATAAGATAATTAAGCAAGTTAATAAGGCAAAATATGAATACATCCAACTCAATTACGTTTATATTTACAGGTAACAACCAGTTAGAATGGTGATTTCCACCCAGTGTGCTGCAAGAATTTTTAAAACATGTAATACTTGACTATTTAGCCAGGGACCCTGACCTCTTTTCCCTTAGACTGTCCAATAAACAAATGACAGCAGCCAACTCAACACTAACCGTCTGGTATAAATGAATCAGATTTATAACTCTTTTTTTTTTATCAGATCATCAAGAAATATAACACCTTTTTTTCGTGTGTTGCAGAATTTTAATAATTAGTTTATGTGCGTCATGAGATGAAAAAGGTTGAAAATCGCTGAGTTAAAAGATATGATGAAAAAACAGGCCTACATTTTGAAAAAGAACAAATACATCTTAATTAAAATACATGTTATATATATATATCTAAAATATGTAGGCCATATATACAAAATGTATTTTAAAAACCCACTTTAAATCTCTCTTGCTGGACACCAAGGTGGTCTAGATGAAAAGGCCTAGAT